GAGGCACGGGCCTGCAGGCTGGCCCTGTCCCCGGGCCCGGGTGTGGGCGAACCTCGGGCTCCCTCAGCCCCTTCCAGGAGAAGCGAGAAGCAGGCAGGGCCCGGGGCCACACCTCCTCCAGGAGGCCCCTCCAGATTAGGGGCCCGGGCTGCAGGCCCCACTCACCCACCGACAGGGAGGTCTCGGGCCTCCGCCCACATCCTCCCACCACAGGGCCACTCCCTGAAAGTGTCCACGCGTCCGCTCCTTAAAACCATGCTCCTGACGGCGGCCTGAGGACGAAGGGTCGCAGGTTCGATCCCGGTCAAGGGCATGCACCTGGTTGCAGGCTCCCTCCCTGGCCCCAGTTGGCCTGGCGCTTGTAGAGGCAGCCAATCCATGTCTCTCTCCCCCGCCCCCTTCCACTCTCTAAAAATCTGTGGGAAAATGTCCTCGGGTGAGGATTAACAAGAATAAAAATAAGTAAAATTAAAATCGTCCTCTTGAGCCAGGAAGCGCCCATGACGGCCTGGTCAGACAGCACCCAGCAGCAGGCAGCCACTGTGGCCGTCAGATGTGCGGGGACCAGTTTCCGGGACCAGGCACCCGGTGGTGGGGGTCATGTCTCCCTCACGAGCTCAGCTGCCGGCTGACTCCTGACCCCCAGGCCTCTGCTCCCTCCCCTTGAATGAGAGGCAAACGCTGTGTGGTGTCTCAGGCTCCTCCAGCATGAAGTCTAGAATCCTAACGCCTGGGGCCCAGTGTTTCAAGTCGAATAAACACTCGAGTGGAGGGACCACCCGTCCTATTTACGGCCAAAATGGACACAGGGCCTCGCGAGGACGAGGGGGCCGGCCTAACGAGAATTTCCTCGTAAATCGGTGACTAGCGCAGGAGGGAGGGGGGGCCGGGTCCCTGGGTTGAGGTCACAGCCTGGCTGTGAGAGCCACCAGACCCTCTGCTCGGAGAGCGGGTACCCGTGGGCCCTGCTCTACACGCCAGGGGACAGTGCGCACCGTCACGCATTCACGGTGAGCACACACTGAGCACACTCTGAGCACGCACTGAGCACGCATGTTCTGCGTGTTCGCCTGTGGTACTGAGGCCCCTGTGAGCCCATGATTCTACCCATGTTGCAACTGAAACCCAAAATTAATTTCTCAGAGAACCCAGAGTCGGTGGTAGATGAACCAGGGGTCCCTCAGACCTCACGTCTCCAGCTCTCATCCATCACATCACACTGTCACCATGGAGACCGAGCCAGGGGGCCGACCACTATTGTACCCTGTCGCCAGGGAAGCCAGAAGTGGTCCAGGAAAGCTCGTGCTGGGTCCACGGACCTTGGCTCACTGCCCTGCTGACCCTGGCCGTGACCGAGTGAGGACGTGGACAGAGCACTAAGAAGTAAATCGTGCTTTACCGTGAATGCTGGATTTGGAGCACAATGGGGAAGAAATGGCTGTTTTTAAATCTATATTTTTATTGATTTCAGAGAGGAAGGGAGAGGGAGAGAGAAACATCAATGATGAGAGAGAATCATGAATCAGCTGCCTCCTGCACGCCCCCCACTGCGGGTCGAGGGCAAAGCCCGGGCATGTGCCCTGACCGGGAATCGAACTGTGACCTCTGGCTCCTAGGTCGACACTCAGCTGCTGAGCCGCGCCGGCCGGGCTAAGGAAAGGCCATTTTAACAACCAAAAGGCAGGATTCCGTTGTGAACTTTGAGATCATGCGGCCTCACCCCATACACCCTCTCGTTCTGCAGATTCACCCCTTTTGCTAACGGGCCGGACGACACGCCGGAGGAGATCCTCGCACGGATCGGCAGCGGGAAGTATGCGCTGTCCGGGGGCAATTGGGACTCGGTCTCGGAGGCGGCCAAGGTGAGCTCACGCCCAGGGCCGCCGCGGGGAGGGCGCTCAGGGCAGCCATTCATCTGCCCCCGAGCCAGGGGACCCTTCACGCCCACAACGCGATGTTTCACCAGCAAGATTGTTTTCAAAGCTGCTCAGCTAAATAAGATTTTGGCAAAAACATGTGACAGCCCTTTTCACGTGTTCTACAGTCCTGGTGTAGCAGAGCCCTGGGATGTGTGTGAGAAAGGGAGACAGAGAGAAGCTGATGTTTTTAGAAATGGGTGTGTGTGCCCTGGCTGGTGTGGCTCAGTGGATAGAGCGTCAGCCTGCGGACTGAAGGGTCCCAGGTTCGATTCCAGTCAAGGGCACATGCTCTGGTTGCAGGCTCGATCCCCAGTAGGGGGCGTGCAGGAGGCAGCCGATCAATGATTCCCTCTCATCATTGATGTTTCTATCTCTCTCTTCCTTTATCTGAAATGAATAAAAATATATTTAAAAAGTAAAAATAAATAAAAATGGGCTTGCGTGACTATGGAGGCTGGGAAGCCCATGTACAAGGCAGGCGGCAGCTGGGGACTGAGAACAGTGGCCAGGCCTGCCCTCAAGGGGGGAGGGCTCCCGGACGGCTGTGACCACTCGCTCCCTCTCCCGCCTCCGGCTCCCGCAGGACGTGGTGTCCCAGATGCTGCACGTGGACCCGCAGCAGCGCCTGACGGCGGTTCAGGTCCTCAAACACCCGTGGGTGGTGAACCGAGAGCACCTGCCCCAGAGCCAGCTCAGCCGGCAGGACGTCCACCTGGTGAAGGTAATCAG